TGTTGAACACATTTTGTGCAATCAGAAAACAGGATATTTTCCCAAAAATCTGCCCAGGGCAATTTTTGCCTTATTACTCAACAATGTTCCTCTTGTCACTTACACTGTCATCTCAGACTGAGAACTGCTTTTGTTCTGAGAAGTAAAATTGCTGCAAGCTACACATTGCCCCTAACTCATATGGTTCCCCAACATTCTGTACATAGTCTATCGTTCAGCTGCATTCTTACTGTAGGCACATTTCTAGGTGGTTAGGTCATTTTGACTTTGAAAATGCACTTTTAGATTCTATTTGTCCTTGACATGGTCCTGCAACATTTTTGTTTAAATACCAAAGGTTTGATAGGTGCAGAGAAGCCCCAAGGGCTAAAGTCTGACTACAAATATTTTATGAAAATACCAGAACATTTTCAGGTAATTTGCATGCAGTTACATCCCCAAATGAAGCTAGAAGCTTGGAATGAACCTGAATTTACAATATCAAAAAGGATCCTGCAAGCAAATTCTGTAACTGCAGTCCCCATTTAGGAGATTTCCTCTTACTTTCAGTTCCAATGTGTAGAGTCTCTCCAGTAAAGACAGACAGCAAAAAAAACAAATGCACCTTTAAAAAGGGTAAGGTCACCTTTTAACAAAAAATAATAAAAATGTAAATTTTTTAGCAGACAAAAAAAACATGCATTTATTAATTTTTTGTTTTGAGAGCCTTTCAAGCATTGCACCAGGGATCAGCAGATCGCTGATGCCATGCAGGACTCCTGCAGACCTGTTAGTTTATCCGTTTGCTCGTACCCCGTACAGGAAAGCAAATATACAACAAGACGAAACAATGAACTACCACAGTGCTCAACAGAGCCATGGTAGTTCATTGAACACTGTGACGAACGCGGCGTCAGACCCCTGACCTTCTCACCAAACTCGTAACCGAAGGACTGGCCAATCTATAACTGCAATGTCACATGCGTAACAATTCCATGCCCAGCTGCACAACGATTTTGCAGCTAATTGGACCACAATCGATGTACCGGCAGCCTGGGAGCGATTGTTACTGGGTCAGGTTAATTACGCAATTAACCCTTCACACTGCCACCACCTCCTTTTTGTACAGAGAAAGAGGAAACTCTGCGATATCAGCAATAACACTATAATGGTTGAGATAATCGTCTGTATAACACGGTCACCGCAGGCCGGTTATACAGAGGGTTAAACAGTAGCACTCTTTTAGAGGCAGGAATTCGTAAATTGCAATAAGGAGCTAGAGAAACAGTTCAACACTTTCAGAAGGAAAGATTTATTACTAAAAAGGTCAAAAGGATGCAATAAAAATATTTACAGAAAAAAAAGATGTAACACACACACACACACACACACACACACACACACACAGAGAGGGGACAACAGCACAGCAAAGAGATAACAGAGAGAAGTTAGAGGGTTAAAGTACTTGCCAAAGTCCTGGGTTAGCAGATCAAGTTTCAGAGCGAAAGGGTACGGGTCTCCCCAGGTGGTTCTGATGTTAAAAGGGAGAATTCTTCAACTTCCCTTTCTTAGGCCTGACAACCCATTTTGTAGTTCCCTAGCAGGGTGTGTCTCTGAAGTCAAGGACCAATGCCCAGTTTAGGGAGGGATTGTCTGGGCGTAGGCATGAACTAGAGCAAAAATCTCTTATATTTCATATTTTGGCTCATAACTTTCCCTATGCACAAGTGACATTCCACCCGCGGGTAGATTATTATGCAGACACATCTGAGGAGCAGGTAGATATGAAATATGAAATACATATTTGAAGGGTTCCAGAGATGTAATTTTCTGCTTTCCTATGTATTCCAGTCAGGGAGTGTGACCGATCAAACTGTTTGTCTCCTCGTGGCCAATCTGAGGATATGCCTGATTTTTATGTAAGTCTCTCATATTCCAAGATATGAGACATAGGGGAAAAATGGATTTTAAAAGTGTTATCTGGTTCCTGCTTCTCTGGAATGTCTTGGAACTCCTGGGAAGGCTTGTGTGAGCTTTTACAATGTGCTATATTGCACAGTTTTCTTAGACAGCCAGGAGCTCAGCTCAGAAGTGTATAGCTCTTGGCTCCCTGCTGGGCTCTGGTCGGCCTGTGACACTTTTTAACACACAGGCTATATGTCAATGTGTATGAACAGAGAGGAAGGGGGAGAATGAGGGGGAAATATGTTTGTCAGGATGGTTGACCTGTTGCCAAGATGGAGGTTGAAGTCAAAATGGTTGAACGTGTCCATCTCTGGGTGCACTCCTGCCACAAGCACTACAAGCTGACAGCTGCAAAGGCTATTGGAACTTGTAGTTTTCCTATTCACAGAATACTGTGAAAGAGTGATGTGTCTGGGTGGGTGGAGCCCAGCACAGTCACAATTTTTTTTAAATGTGGGTGGGAGAGCAAGGAGCTGGTCCTTTCATAACATGTTACACCCTGAATATGGGTGTACCATGTAACATGTTACGCAAGGTGAACTTATCCTTTAACTCCTTGATGCCGAGCGCACACAAATATGCGGCCTCACAGCGTCTGTGCCTTGACGACGAGTGGCCGCATATTTGCGTGCAATTCGAAAATACATATGTGCTGAGAGAGCGTGCCCTGTGAGGTCTCAGAACATATGTCCGTGACTCACGGAAAGGTCCTGATCTCCTCTTTCGATCGGGACCTTTTCTGATCATGTGACCGTCGTGACGGCAAATCACGGTGGTCACATGACCCTAAAACCTCGCCCGCCTCCCGGATTCTGAAACTCTTAAAGGGACAGGAGGCACCAGTGTGAAGAGGTTAACCACTTCCTGTCCGGCCCATGTATATAAACCAGCCGGACGAGAGCAGTGCAGGGGCGGGTTGCCGTTCATAAACAGCGCCCCCGAAATGTTAGCTTGTGCGCACTCCCTGGGAGCGCGCAGCACCGCAATGCGGTGCCCACTGTGTCCTCTCCCGATTCATGTGATCACTGATTGGCCAATTTGAATTTGGGTTGGCGGCAATAAACTGTTGTGCATATAAGCTGCTTTGATCCACAATCAATGCATACAGATCTTCCGTGAAAAAAAAAAAAAAAAAAAATCAAGGGGATTAATTAAATTTGCTGTTTCCAACTGAAGTCAGAGTTGGGCAGTGAATGGAGGATGTACGGGTGCTGCAGAATTTGTGGGCTTCCAATCAGGATTTGCAAGCATATCCGGAAGGATACTAGGCACTCTACAGGCCTGTGTGCAAATTCTTAGTGGCTGCGGGACACTACTTGTGCTCGCTACCGCACTTGTACTGCACTTATCAGACTCGCCACAGAGCACCTGGCTGTCATGGACTGCTTGAACCGCTACAAAAAAAAAATAAAAAAGTTACCAGCAGGTGCGAACAGAGATCAGGCCTGATTCTGCGAACACTACGGTTTTGTGTGCAACTTATCAAGTGACAGTGACCTACTGACACTGCACTTGTTGGAGGAGAAAGGTGGACTAAACAAGGTGCCGGGGCTGATCCCACTAACGCTACATTTTTAGGGACACTATACTAATGTGAACGCTGGTATACCGCTGATCTGATCAAAGATATTGATCCGTTCAGACACAGCTACTCACTGTTCTTAGAGACCTGCAGTGCAAGGATGCTTGCTTCATTTCTTCTAGCTGTCGATTATTACCCCACTAGTTTCAGATCACCAGTCATCAGAGGCTACTCTGACACAGGAAAGCAAATCCTTGCTTCTCTACTATGACAGCTGCCACCACACAAACACAACATAAAAAAAAAGGATGGTAAATCAGTAATGGCAAAAATATCAGTTCCAAGAGCCTACAGGCAATACTGGTGACTTGGTCCTTTGCTCTCTGGTTGTCTTTTTTAAGGCGAAGCTTACCCAGTTTTTGTTCTCTTTGAACTCTTACCACTGGCTCTACAGGAGTAGAAAGACAGCAAATAGCCCCTAAGATGACTCAGACACCCCTTTGCATGTACCACTTTCTGAACCTTATCCTATGATACATTTGAAAATGTATATTTCTGTACTTAAAATCTTTTACACTCCATTTAAGACAATTTAAGACTACTTCAGAATGAATGATAATCTGCAATATATAGCTTGTTCTTAAAACACTGCTGAAAACAAGAACATATATACGGTTTTCCCAAAATTGCAATTTGCAGATCTTCTTCCCATTGGAACAGTTCTATTCCATTGAAATAACATCTGCAAAGTCTATAGACATTTTTCCTGCATCCCTGTTCCATTTTCCTACTACAAATACTAAATGAAATCTTATAAGTGAAATATGTCGGTTTCCACGACTGAACTAATTCAGGAGTCAATGGCCCGGATAAACCACGTAGCCAGTGAAGTAAGACTTCCTGATCTATATATCTGATTTACTGTAGGTCTGTGTCTCAGCGAGATGCAGATTAGAGGAAGTGACCGTTGGAGAGGAAGAAAAAATGATAAAAAGGGGCTGATCTAAAAACAGAAATATGTAAGAAAGATTACCTCAAATGGACACAAAAAAAATTACATTAAAAAATGGTCATGCCTTGCATCAAATGGATTGTGACAATCACTTTTAGGATTATATACCACTTTAAATGTAGGATGATTACATACGTCTAAAGTTCAACAATGTATAGGACTCATACAATGACCTGCTAAATTAAGTGATCCCCCGATACTATGACTAGTGAAACTCCAACATAAGACTAACAAACTGCTTGGGGCAAAACAAGAAGTAATGAATTTTAGGAATTTAAAACATGCTATGGCATGTAACCCTGATAAAATCGATGCTTAGTATGAGCATTTAAAGGGGCAGTATACTGTGGTACTAGCTTGATTTTGTTGCACTAATTCAAGTTTGACAATCTGTTTAGCAAAAGAAAACAAGTCTTAACCAAAAAGCTGGACTAAATGGAGAGTACATTAAACATGACACTTTATGTAGAACACCTCTCTTTTCATATACATTATAGAATAGAAGAAGAGGGAAGACATTACCTTATAACACCTGTACTTGTAAAGTACCACTAAGAGAATAGTCATGACAATGATTACGCTGATCATGATTGCAGTGTTCAGAATGGAGTTCAAAGCCCTTTGTCCCACGGTTTCTGTATCTTCTGTGAATGGAGTGTAAATTCTAGAGAAAAAAAAAAAAAAAATATGAGAATACCACCGGAATGTATCTGTTGTCTGCATACAATTCTACATTCAGATATTTCTACATTTCACTGAGCCTTTGATATTTGCAATTACAGCAAATACGGTGGCAATAATGGTGGTCCCTTTGGAATTACTTATGTTTCTGCACAAATAGCTCCTAAAACATGGCCTGGTCTTCATCCAATTCTAAGTCATGACAGTCTGCATGTTAAATCGTCTGCTCATTACAAACACAAGCAAGTACAACTGTATGTATCCTTTTTCCATGTGAAGGGGGTTATATGATTTAAACTGGGACAAAGGCATAATGTGCAATAAAAATATTTTGAGGGAAGTAGGTTAAATCTCCCCAGAAGAGACACAGATCACAACAGTGAACTGGAAGAGGCTCTTTACTTCACTAAAAACTGAATTTCTGTATATACTGTGCTTTTCTTAAAGCAGAACTCCAGGCAAAAACCTCTTTACATGTCCTTGTTGCTGACTTCCTACCTTCACTGAATATGTCATTCATCTTATGGTTCACTCAGTAGTTGCTTTAATTTGCCTATTCTTTATTCAGATCAAGTGGCTGCTTGCTTTCTATTCCCTTGGCACACCCCTTCTGTAGTTTTTTCTCCAGGAAGCAGGGATGTAATTCAGTCCCACTTGCAGTGGTGGGCGGAGTGAGACTGACACCTTCAACATGTACAGGCCTAGTGTACCCGCCCACCTTCACTGCAATTCCCTGTGGTTGATGGGAACTGTAGTGTCTTTTTACTGCAGAGAGAGAGGAAAGGATATGATGTAATCCCGGCTGTTACACCTCCTCCTTGGCAGTGCAGATGCTGTTATCTTTTGAATTACAGAGATAAAGTCATGAAAATTCAGTTAGAACTTTCTCCTAAATGGTAAGGATTTTCAAAAATTTTATTAACCGTTTAGTGTTTTGTGTAGGGGGTGGTGTACCAACAGGTGATTATTTTTTTTTTTTTATCCTGGCGTTCTTCTTTAAGGAGTTTCTCCTGATACTAGCATGCCTCAGTTCTGTAACAAGAGCTTCATCTTAAACAGAGGGGTGGGACATCAATTGACTCCAAGAAAAGGATTTTGTGGTTAATTCAAAAATCCTATTTTCTTTCTAGTCCATTAAAGTGGTTGTAAAGGTATCTTCTGCATTAAGAAATAAAACCTTTTAGCTGCAGCTCCCCCCTCCAGCCCCCTCGAATACTTACTTGAGCCCAATCTTGATCCACAGCTGTGCCCCAGAGCAGCGTTCCTGCTCTCCCCCCCCCCCCCTCCTCACTGGTCTCAGTGGCTGCAGCTGGAGCCTTTGGAGCCTGCTGCAGTCAATCAAATCCAGTGATGAGATAGCAGGGGACAAGGCCGAGGCGCACTATATATTTCAATAAACAAGATAAACCTGTGCTCAAATCCCAATAGCTTGTACATGCATTTATCTATCAGGAGCTAAAGGGGTGTAACCACATATTAACACTAGAATTTGTGAAGGAACTGTTTGCACACGGCTATATACCCTTTCCAGCAATAGAGATTTTTAGTTCACAGGTATTGCAATACACTGTGTGCATCTATTGAAACATACAGAAGGAACCCTCCACACACTGCTATATAAAAAAAACTTTGCAATGTTCACACATATTTCAATACATGTTTAAGCTGGCCAACTGCATCAAAGTACACAGCGGCTCCAGATTGAGACTGCACGAGTACCCCCCCCCCCCCCCCCAGAGAAAGGAGGGGGGGGTACTCAGAAGGCAGCAAGAGCCAGGGGTACCAAGAGAGGAGCCCAGAAGAGGAGGATCAGGGCTGCTCTGTGCAAAACCACTGCCCAGAACAGGTAAGTATAACATTTGTTGAACATAAAAAGAATGAATATAAAAAAAATCCTTTACAATCACTTTAAGGAACATAGGAAGTTATTCACCTTGATAACTTTGAAAAGCAGTCCAACTGAGGGGTGTAAAACACACAGCAAACAAACAAAGGGAAAAATAGCAAAAAGGGAATCTTTCCATAAAACAAGCAGTGCCTGAAAAATACATTCTCACAGTCAGAACAACATACAGAGCTCAAGCTTTAAACTGGAGGGAGTAGGACTCTGGCCTATGTCATGTCAAGGACTATAACCAGATACACAAAACAATGCGTCTGTTCAAGCAATGATTTCTAGAATAATCTCCAAATGACACCTTAGCGATAAAGGGATAATGAGGATCAGCAGAGTTGCAGTGTGGACCATTTAGAACATCTCATAGCACCCTCTGGTAACTTGCGCCAATGCTGCCCTCTTCAGACTGGGAAACTTAATAGCATATAGACAAAATAAAAGAGTGCAAATGCCTAGTGCATTGCCAGAAAAAACTTCTTGAAGTAACAGCAATAACTGCATACTCACAAAAGCTCAAGCCTAACAGGCAGTAAGACCAGACCTAAGTTGGCAGGGTGACTCATCAAGGGAAGTGTCAATACACCCTGGTGTCACCTCCTCAGCTAATACATTTCCAGCTATCAACCCTTTCTCATCAGAGCCGTCAGCAAGGTTACAGCTAAGATGGAATGTAAAGCAGGAACTGTCAAGCAGGAGCCCTCTAGAGAGGGATTCCATTGGTTGGGTCCTAAACCACCTACTGACCACCGCATGTAAAAAAAAAAAAAAAAAAAAAAAAAAGTCTCGTCAGCAAGTAGTTATAGCCATAGGGTCATCAGGGCATCAACTACTATGGCTAGAGGATCCCTGGACCCAGAGACAAATCTGTACAGCTTGTTGTTCAAACAGGGAGCCAGAAGATGCTTGTCTGGCAATCCCCTCTTGTGATAGAGGTTCTAAAACATCTGAGTGAACAGACCACTCTCTGGAGACCAGACTAACAACTGAGAAATCCTCAAGCCACAAAACACCAGCACTTTTGACATTTCCATAATGTAAGTTCACTTTGCAACAACTAAGGTCAGGATTTGCTGAAAACACATTAAGAGTCTGTATAGGTTTTTACCCTGTACTTGCTACGAGGAAATAAAATCACATTGTGGAAAGAGTGTTGCGGTTTTGTGGCTTGTTACTCTAAGTGTTGCCATGCACTGACTGCAGGTAGTTCTGTTTCATCTCCAACTACATGGTAAGCTGATCATGTGACCTTAAAAGAATGGCTGAGAAAGTCTGTCGGCTAAATTTTCCACAACTGGAAATGTGCAAAGCAGTCAGGGCTGGAATGTAAGGTTCTGGCAAAGCCAGCATTTGTTTGACTGCAAGACTTCTGGCTCCTCCCTGATGGTTAACATCTGACACCACATTAGATGATCCTACAATTAGGAGGTTGAACACTGAGGTGATCATATCACTGTGGGTTTCGGTATGTTGAATGGAAGAAGAGCTTCCTCCACTTCCGGAACCTTTTTTGGGTGTCCCACGATGGCACCGTGTTTTCGGTTGCCACTGAGGAAAAAAAAACACACCCCCCCCCCCCCAAAAAAAAAGCATTTTTTTCGGTTATAAAAATTTTGCACATAAATAATTGTTATTCTTAAATGTATTTTGCTACATTTCTTTGTGAAAATAACTCAAATCAGTGTTTAATATTTAGCCTGTAGGAAAGTTAAAGAGTCCAAAAACTATGGTATATCTCTGAAAATCTATCAATCCTAATGTACTGATGGCCCATCTCATTTTGAGGCCCAAAAATGTCAGAAGTACAGATATCCCCCAAATGACTCCTTTTTGGAAAGCAGACAATCCAAGGTATTTAGTAACAGGCATGGCATGGTTTTTTGAAGATAAAATTTTTTGCCATAATGGTTTGGAAAATGTCATTATATAACTGGTATGGCGGTGATACGGGAAACCGACTGGTGACAGAACGAAAAAAAAAAAATTTTTCTTCAAATTTTTAATATTTTCTTTACTTTTTTTTTTTTACATTGTTTTTAAACACACTGTGGCCAGGGTAGCATAATGTTACCATAACATTGTACTACTCTGGGAAAGTGATCAGGGTTATTTTTTTTTTTTTTTTTTAACACACACACAGACGATGATGAATGCTTATGGCAGTACATTTCGCTGCTGTAAGCAAGCATTTTACTAAATGAAATCATTTCAGGTTTGTTTGGTTGTGATTAGCTATGATTGGCCACAGCTAACCACATGGTACAGATGGACTGTGATTGGCCTTGTCTGTACCATTTGATCGCTGTGACCAATCACAGTTAACACAATTGTAACCATGATTGGTATGAATCGAACCCAATAACTGTTTACAATCGCCAAGTGATTTGCTGTGATTATTCACAGTGATCAAATGGAACCAGGAGTGGGCTGGTACACTGATCTGTCACCAGCTGTGTACTGATCATGACTGCGTAAGAGGCTCGTTCTGGGTAGGACGTCATGGCGTCCACCCGAAATGACGGGTGGGCAGGAATCAGTTAAAGTGGTTGTAAACCTCAGAAATGAAATATGAACAAAGCATTTCCCTCTATAATCTGTATTTGTCTCTATCCAGAGTGCTGTGTGTATATTTAAGGGTTTACAACCACTTTAAGGTAAAAAAAGTGATATAGGCAGCACAAACACTTGTACAGGGCTCCAAAAGGTACTGTGCCCCACTCCATGATGCCCGCAGTGGCTTCTGGGCTTTCTTGTTCTTTCAGGGAGAACAGGGCTACAGTAAAATGGAAGTAACTCAGAAAGTAGAAGACAATCTTTAACACCTTGTGAATAACGAATCCAAAAACCAAAAATGTGTATTATGACACTTCCAGGTTTCTCAATGGTCTTTCCTCAGCAACTATAGGTGAGGTTGGCAGCTAATTCAGCACTAGGTGTGTGTGTGTGTGTGTGTGTGTGTGTGTGTGTGTGTGGGGGGGGGGGGGGGGGGGGGTCCTTGATGTCTCCATAAAGAGGACCTGTCACCTGCCTATGCTATAGCAAATGAAACGAAAGCAAGGATTAAAAGATAAAGAAGCTGCATATCCCAC